ATGGATGGATGATCTTGACAAAACTTTGTAGGAACTTGTTTTAATTTTGACATAAAAGTCTTTTTTTGGGCAAATTTTTGTTTATCAATTTTTTTTTAAAATTGGCTGTTTTAAAGCAATTAAAGGCGAAAGCTTCCAGTGGGGGTGAATACTTTCTATATGCACTGTATTAAAGATAAAGATAACTTTATTGATCCCACAGTGGGGAAAGTTCACTGATACAACAGCTCCAAAAAAAGTGTACAGTCAGTGCAAGAATAGTTGGGAACACCCAGTGCAAAAAATAGGAAAGAAACAAACAGAAAACAGAAAAAACAGAGAAAAAAACATTATATACAGAAGACTTTTTATTTTTTTCTGTATTGCCTGTGGCGGTCTAATTCCTGGGCTTCAGTAGGAAGCATTGAGTCAAACCACAGTCCTTATGAAAACTGAGTGCACTTTTTTACAAGTAGAAGTTGACCATTCAGTTCAGTGAAATGATTAGAACTGCTGAAGTGGCAAAGCATATGCAGGGTTCATGCTTTTTAAAAATGGTTTTACTGTGCCGAAGCAGCTTTGAATGGAAAACGCTGCGCACCGTGGTTTTGATTCTGCTTCTAATAATTTAAGTCGAGGTGCAACCACGAGGCTCCAGACCAGAGCGTGAAGAAGAACACGTTGAACATGAGGAGACACGTCAGGCAGGTTCATGCTTCATGAGGGCAGCGACACCACAGTGTGAGAGAGTCTCTGTACTTAACATTATGGGTATAGTTAGAATCATCTGAATTCAAAGAGTTTGTGTCTTTTCAAAATATTTCCTTTAATTTGAAATGCCCTTTTCTCAGGTTAAAACAACAGCGTCTGTTTTATCAGCAGAACTTATATATAGCTCAGAGTACAGTGCAAATGTTTTTGTTTGAATTATAGTAAAGTAGAAGCATAACAAAGACATGAAAGGAAAGTACTTTAAAGTAGTTGTATTTATGAACAGAGCTCAGTTGTGGCTATTTAGAGGAAATGTTAAATATAATATTATACTTGAAAGCTCTCGGTTCCTGCAGGGCGAACACAGTGTCAACAACCTTTTTTATTTTTGTGTAAATAAAACAGGAGAAAACAGACACACATTGTAAATCAACCCATGTACCCATATTCTTACTTAGCAGTTAAACAAATTAATAGTTTTTGAAAGTTGTGAAGTTTATCAGCAGATTTTCTGTCGCTGTTTTCCCAATTAAATAAAACGATTTATCAGGAAGGAGGATTTCCAAAAATCTGGCAACCACGTTTTTTTCCTTATTAGCGGATATTAAGAGATCTGTAAGCATTAGTCAATATTTATTATTGTAATTACAGCTTATAACTCCTTATTGCCTTCACTTAATGTCAGATATAACCACAGTAAGAGTGGAAGCAAATGAGCTAGATTTGGATTATTTTCAGTATTTTAATACATATATTTATGTGCTCACAAGAGTTTTAGATTTATTGCTACAAGAAGAATGTGAAGAAGTGATTTTCATACAGATAAATAAGCCTCTGTGAGGGGTCACCACTAGATGGCAGCTTCACCATTCAAAACCCCACAGCCTATGTCTCTTTAAAACGTATATCCTGTTATTCTGGTTCAACCTATGTCATATTTTCCCACCAAACATCAAATAAAAAACCAATTGTAAGCGATTACAAGCAAATCTCAAATAAATATGTCGTGCATGAAGCCTGCACAGATGGAAATAATAAAGTTTAAAGCGTTGTTTTATCTGTTTAGCTGCTGCACACTTTATTAGGTTCACCTGTTGAGTCTAATACAGTTCAGTCCAACAGGCCTGACTCGTGTTCAGGCTCAGTTACGCTTTTTATTTCTGCAAACAAGAAATATTGTGTGAATTAAATACAAAGCAGCACCACAACACAATGCGGCCACACTACAACACACCTGTTATTATAGACGTGTAGGTTTTATCTAGTGGTACTATTAAAATACTCTTCTAATATCCTCTAGATTGAATATAAATATGGTATAAAAAAAGAAAGAAATTGCCCAAAGCAATGCCCTAAAGCTGCTTGTTTTGTTTGATCAGCAGTCGACACAAAAACACACAGAAGAAAAATCATCAAATCTAAAACCTGTGATGTTTTTGGCAGCTTTGCAGCATCGATAACAATAATGGATTGTCTGTTAAAGGATTAATTGATTAAGCGACTAAGCTTTAATGCTCTTTCTTGGTTGTTTAAACAGCTTGCAGATAAAGACGGACTTTCATGTGTGGCAGAGACTCGGATGAAACACTCGCATGCAGATTGGTAGCAATAACGCCGGCAGCACAGAGACGCCGCTGAAGCTGTGTGAGAGATTGTGTTTCACAGCAGAGGCAGACTGTAATAATGGAGCAGCGTAAAGATGGATGCACTCTGCCTGAGTAATTGGAGGCAGGTAATTCTCTTCTACCTGGTTTCTTCCTCCATGTAATGAAGATAAGGTCCCTCCTCCCCTCCTCCTCCACCACAATGTAACCACGATAAGAAAATGACACTTTACCTGGAACAATTTCTAACAATGGCTTTCATAAAATGTCAGCGTTATGATGAAGTGATAGCAGCGACTGTGGAACGTTATTATCTCCACACACTAATTACTGCATCACGATAGCGAAAAGCGCGTTTAATATTCTAACGCACTCGTGGAGTCCTGCTGAGGAGCAGCTTTAGGAAAGACGGAGTGTGTTCAGAGTTACAGTTCTTGTTCCTGTCAGTGATGTGGTCCTTTTACAGCTATTTATAGTCATTGTGCATCTGGTTGTGGTTATTTTGTGTCTATTTATGGTAATTTTACAGCTATTTATAGTCACTGAGCATCTGTTTGTGGTCGTTTTGCCCCCATTGGTGGTCATTTTACATCTGTTTGTAGACATTTCGTTGTTTTGCATCTGCTTGCGACAGCTGTGCATCCGTCTGTGGTCATTTTACAACGACTTATGGTCATCAGGCATCAACTTGTGATCATTTTGTGTCTATTTGTGGTCATTTTGCATCTATTTGTCATAATCGTGCATCTGTTTCTGGTCATTTTAAAGCTTTTTATGGTTATTGTGAAGCCTTTTATGACCATTAATCAACTGTTCGTCGTCAATTGGTTTACATTTGTCGTCCTTTTGCATCTGTTTGTCATCATTTTGCATGTATTTGTGGCCATTTTGTTGTTTTGCATCTGCTTGTGACAGCTGTGCATCTGTCTGTGGCCATTTTACAACTACTTATGGTCATTGTGCATCCGTCTGTGGTCATCAGGCATTAACTTGTGGTCATTTTGTGTCTATTCGTATCCATTGTACATCTATTTATGATAGTCGTGCATCTGTTTCTGGTCATTTTTAAGCTTTTTATGGTC